CCCACATTGGCGAAGTCACGCAATTGGTTAACGGCTAGTCTATGGTAATACAGTACATCAGGCAGGACATCCAAACGCTCGCCTATCATTCATTCACCACAAATATGGCTTATCATCTGAAATATGTAATTAGCAGCAACGTTGCATGAAGCTGAACAGTAGCGCGCTCACAGCATGACAGATGGAGATGCCGGTGCGGTCACTTGCTCTTAAAATACTAATTTTTGTCATACAGATCAGAGTAATACATCTTTCAAATCTGTAAAGACTCTACATTTATTTGTGTGCACTCACAATAACAACAAAACACGCTTTTGTAAAATAATGAAAGCAACATGATGCACTTTCTGCTGCCTCGGTCTCCGTGAACTTGACCGTGAAACTCCGAGTATATCTTTGCCTTACAGACTGTAACGGGGTGAAGAATCACACGACAAGTAATCTCAATCAATGGGGTCCCCTGGTCGGTCAGGATCTTTGCTGGGATGCCGACTCGGCTGGAGAGCAGGAAGGGTTCCTGGGCAATGGCTTTGGCGGTGGCTTTCCGGAGGGGAACTGCTTCGGGGTACCGGGTGGCATAGTCGACAATCACCAGGATGTGTTCATGTCCCCGGGCAGACTTAGGCAACAGCCCCACAAGGTCCATCCCGATGCGCTCGAAGGGCACCTCGATGATGGGCAGTGGTAGCGTGGCTTATGTGGCCGCCTCCTGATGAGCTGCAGCTGTGACCGATCAGCCTGTGATGAGGACGGCCAGGTGTGCCTTGCTTGTTTCCAGGGCGACGCTGATGAAGCTGCGGGACGCTCGTCTCAAGACATATAAAAATATATCTATAGATAGTGAAATGTCTACTTTCAAACGAACCAATTCAAATGTAAAACAAATATTCTCAGATTATGTAATAATGCATGTGAAACATGCATACAGGCGCATCCACTTCTGTGGAGATGACGAGAAAGCACTTGTTTATCAGTGAATTATTAAAATGTTAATGCAGCCTCCTTACTCTTTTTCCCTGACACATTCATAATCATAGCTTCTGTGGTGCGCTGTGGCAAACTTTATGCATGTGCTGGATTGCAAATGAGGCAGAATGTAAATAATTAAATAAATATAACTATCAGGAGCACAATTGTTTGTTGGGGTGGAAATTTGGGGATAAATGAATAATTGCTATTATATAATAACTTCTTTATATAATATTTTTATATAATATATTTGCATTTTAATTAAGTCTCTTATGCTCACCAAGGCTGCATTTATTTGATTGAAAATACAGAAAATAAATCAGTAATATTGCAAAATATTTTTACAATCAAAAATAACTGTTCTCTATTTTAATATAGTATGTAATTTTTTTCATATGATGACAAAACTGAATTTTCAGCAGCCATTACACAATGTTTCATGATCCAACATTTTCACACAAATATTGAAAAGGTTTATTTTTACTTTTCATTTATATTATAATAGTTTCAAAATGTAACATTTATATATTTTTTATGATGGATTAGCTGGATATTCTGAATATTGGATATTCTGGCTCTGGGACAGAAGTAAAACAATCAAATCTATACATAACGGCATTTGAAAAGTAGTAAAACTAAATGATGAAAGCATGGTAAAAAGTTTCCAAGTCAAATTTTATGTTACCTTCATATATATGCATAAAAGAATTAAACATATATATATATATATATATATATATAATAAAAATCAACCCTTGAGCCACAAAAGTGCCAGAAGTTTAAAAGATTATATCACATTAATGGTTTGGAATAGAAAAAATAATTTCTTTAGAAAGTTGTGACTTTCCTGTTTCCTTCAGTGGAAACTCAAAATGTATTTCCAGGTCAAAGCGACTGATGAAGCAGATCACAACAGTGTAGCTACCAAACTGGTTGTGTAATGTATTTTAGCGACTCAACAAACACCAAATGCCATTTTTCAAGGCATGTCACTGATTATTTAAATTAAAACCCACATATTTATCTTCACCCTGACAAGTGCGGCGAGTTAACTAATTCTGTCGCATTACCATCCTGACAAAGCATTTACTTTCCTCCTTCCATTTTCATTTAGCCTGCTGTGTTAATAAATCACATGTACTTCGCCGCAAACAGAGCAGCTCGTAATTCACCCCAAGTGATTGGCTGCTTCTCCACACCGAACCAGTCCACGGAGTGCTGAAAAATCTGCGTACAAGCATCATATATTACGTTCGTCTCACGGCTCAGTCGCTATTGACTGACAGCAGCAGGCGCCACGTTAATGGGCCTCGCCACCGAGACGGATTGCGGCAGTAATTGTCGCACGTGTAGATTGCCATGTATAACAGAGCGCAGACCTACATGGGACCAGAAAGAGGATCGACTGGAGACAGATGGGGGCAATTCTAGCGCGGTGCAAGAGACTGCTGGGACCATTTATTCAAATGTCAAATTAGCATGCCGCTGAAAAATGGTTTTGCAAAAATAGAAACAATATCAAATAAAAATATCAATAAAAAATATCAAAATTGCACCCGAGAGAACAGGAAGTGCCAGCTTTTTGGTTGCTGGAGCTGCATTGTTGCTATTGTATTGTCGTGCATGTGGTTTTGTTTGGGGGCTGCGCATGTACCGCGTTCACAACATCTCCCACAGGCAGAGAAATACGCGGCAACAATTTGATTTAAGCGCGGTTCCTGATCACTCCTTTTGTTGTTGAGAATGCTGTGTCACTAAACTGTCGTGCTCGGCTGCTCTCGGGCTACTTCTGAGCCAGGAGCTGTGATTAATGGAGACTAGCCAGAAAGCGAGTGCTGGCCAGACCTGTTTCTCTCAATCCAGAGGCATAGAAGGGCAGAAGACCATTCAATACAAATCACAGCGATGCAACACTCACCATCCTTCCTTCATCTCCTTTGGGCCCCTGGAAAAGAAAAGCACAGAATTATCCTGTGAAACCTTATTTGACCTTACGGCTCTGTGTGCTATCAATTAATCCAATCTGTGTAATTAGCTGGATGACATCTACTTAGATTTGCTGTCAAACAGTAACAAAAGAGCCATGAGGGAATTATGCTGACAGTATTCTGTTCCAAAGCCTAGTGAGCTGTCGATCTGACCGGGTAGAGCACAATTCAGAATTTAAGAATCGGATCTTTTGCATTTCATGAGTGTGAATTTTGAATTGAACTGGCAATATACCCCAGGAAGTTTAATTGGTATGATCGGAATAGAATTTATTGACTTGTAATTCAAAGAAAAGAAAGTTACACAAGAAATGAATGTTAGGAAGTTTGTGACAAATAATTACATTATGATTGACTACATATGCAGAATACATTCATAATTCATATGTAGAATACATTTTTACTCAACTGATTAGAAATATTAACTCAGTTCAGTACAATCAAAACAACTTATAGATTTTAATTTTGCCATAGAGCACCACAAAATGACCACTACAATGCTATTAGATAAATATTTGACCATTCAAATCTACTAATTAAATAATTGTATTAAGATGTTGATGCATTTTGGGAAATCTTATGGGAAGTGTCCTTCCAACAGTTTGGAGAAAACTTAATTTGATAAAAACAACTAATGATATAATGAATTATTCCTTGTGTGTGTAAGCACACTTGGCAATAAAGCTCTTTCTGATTCTGAATTAATATATATATTGAACATATAGTATATATTGTAATTTGAATTCAAGGAACTAGAACTAAAAGGAAACTTAATCAAATGTAAAAAAGTCTAGCTTCAAGCAAAAAATGTAAAACATAACTGATATTATTATTATTATTATTATTTAACATTAATTTTAATTGATTACATTTCATGTATTAATAATTAACACTAAAATGCATAATTGATTAATTATTCACACTAAAATGCATAAAAGCTGCACTTAAACACTGAATTTTGCTTATATTTATTTGTAACTCCGCTTCCACTGCAATTCCACTGTCAAATATCTTCTTTCAAATGAGTCTACAATTATGCATGTAACGCAAAGGCCTCATTAACGGAGGTTAACAAGTTAAATTCAAATTACAACTTGAATTACAATTCTGAATTCCCATTTCCTTAATTATTTAAATACAGCAATTAAATAAGATTTTTAAGCATCCTTAACTGAATTCTGAATGGTGCACAGCTCTATCTATCTATCTATCTATCTATCTATCTATCTATCTATATATATATCTATCTATCTATCCATCTAACAATTTAAGGCATCATGTGGGCTGTGCATGAGTGACTGTTTATAGTTTTAAAGGGGTTATGAACTGAGAAATCAAAATTTTTGATATATAAATAAAAACATTCTGTAAGTTTCAGAACTCAAAACTTTCTAATTAGTCTAAAAACAGCTTATATTGAAGCCTATCGGCCAAAACGACAGGCTGTGGAATGTGCCACTTTCTGATGTAATATTGTGGCTAAACACCACCTCCGTAAAAGAAGATCAACGCCTGCTTCTACATCGCTGCCTGTTTTCCCCCGCCCACTGATTCGTGCACACAGTATGTAAATGACAAGAGCCAAACCAAACAATAAACTTCATATTTACTGAAGTTTCAGACCACATCAGTAAGAACTTGGTCCTTTTTTCACTTCATTTTATCACATACTCATTAACAAATAAGGCACAATTCATCACAGGATCTTCTAAAAGATTTAAACTAAAAGACAATGCTGTGCTGACTATATTGGATCCAATGTCACAACATACAAGTGTGAGTAATTTTTTTTATTATGTGGTCGCTATTGCTTTGTCTTGTATTACAGATCATTTGATATGTACTGAGTGGGCTATTTTATAAATGTATATATTGTTATATATATTTCTATATATTTCTGTTTTATATATTTTTAATGTAAAAATCTTGATAACATCATAAGTGGACCTCAGAGAACAGTACAAAATAAAAAACAATGGCAGTTCACGACCCCTTTAAATCATTCACTTATGAGGTTTCATGATGCTTAGGATGCTGAGTTTGTAGACCATAGACAGTGATGAAGCATGCTAGGTTCTGCAAAACAGCCTAAACCGAGCTGCATTAGACATAAAATATAAACACCAAAGTGAATTGAGGCAAATTGAACCACTTTTTGAGATGACAGCCAAGAGTGCCTCTAATTTACCCTATTTCCCCCAATAAAACAAGACTGAATATTATATTCGAAAGCTAATTTTACCCTTTAGCACACCAGTGAGCTAATATATCATGACTCTGCATGCTAACACAATCCAGTCACATCAAACGTTCTCCCAATCACAAGCGTCTTGATTGTTCAAATGAAGTTCAATCGAAGTTTAAGTGTGCTTTGTCTAAGTGTGGTCTCCTCCAGCTGCGGCACGTCAACAGGAAGTGTCACGTCCCACTTAGAACAAGTTCACTTGAGGATAAACCGAAACAAAGCACCCTGAGGGACTTGTAAGCAGCTCTTTGAGTCTATCGCAGTGAGTAGGGAGATTGGAGAGTGTCCTCTTTCAGACCTGCTGATAAGGGTTTTAGCATTTCCAGAGTTCTGGGCGGTCTGGTAAAGATGGCCCAAGAGGGAATACACTCTTGTTCTTCATGGAAAGGAAGGACACATTACATACAGACTAGATAAGTGTGCGTGTCGCTGCGTTGATAAGCTAATCGGATGATTCCGCTAGGGGAGAAATGCTCTTTTATATGTATTTCTCTTTTTTTTCCTGTTAAAGCGCTGCATTTCAATTACCCCTTCTTTACAGGCAGCTACTTTGTTGACTATGTGTGACGGGTTTGTTTTGCCCTTCTCCCTTTGGGCTGCTGTCATTGTCTGAGTTTCAGATTTGTGTCTGTGTGGCCGTGATCCGTCCTTGAATTCATGCTGTGTAAAACTCTTGAAATCAGGGGCAGACAGCAGCTAAACGGAATATAGATTCCCAAATCAATGTAGCTTCTTTGTGTATTGACATTTAAACTTCATTAAAAGTGCAACAACTGATTCCCTGTGGTGGGTTACGTTCAAATAACTATATATTTTATGTGGGATATAATAAAAAAAATATGACACATACTGTTGGCCCTGGTGGTCCGGGTTGACCTGTATTAGCTGCTCCATTCTGTAAATAATAATGAGGACAGTTTAAAAGGTATAAACAATATGACCAATACAGTTACAATCTAAAATATTGTGTGTTTTAGTATCAGGTGAAAGTTATACCTGAATCTTATAGAGACTGCTCATTCCATTGCCCTCTGCATATGGGACACCCTAAAAAAAAACAAGTTTACAAGATTTTAGCATGTTGCTAGGTGGTTGCTGATTGGCTAAAGTCAAAATAACCTGCCCAAATCAATATGATATTATAGTTTCCAGATATGTCACAGATTCCGCCTTCAAATACAAGTCAATGAGATTTTTCTCCTTATTTATCATTCACCAGTCTATAAAATCATAAGGGAAACAAACTAAATTCTCTAATATTAAGATTTGAACCTGTACTGGTCCCTAATTGAACTCTTCTAAAGCCTAACGTTTGGAATACAAATGTCAAGAGAAATCAAATTTTCTTTTAAAAAAAGTATATATAAATAAAAATACTTTTTAAGTCTTTAAAATAAATAAATAAATAAAGCCTGTTGAATCATACTGTTATTTACATTTTAAAAGGATTTTTAAAAGAATATGAACTATCAATCAGACGACAGAAGGCATGAAGAAGATTGTGTGCAACAGATTTTTCAGTTTTGATCATGTTGATAATTAAGAGTTCTTAGAAATTGATGTATCATGCAAGCTTTATAGGGTTAATTGCGTTAAATTTGTTGGGAATACATACAAATTGCTATTAAAATGTCAAACTTTCAGATCTGAAAGAAACTGCAAATACAAGTATTCAAAAAAGTCTACGTTATAGTATATAGGCCTATAAATATAATTTTTTTTTTAATCAAATACGCATCTCACTTGTGCTTTAAATATAATTTATAGCTAAAGTGTCCAATTTTTTTTCCATGTAAAATTAATTTTCCCCATTCCATCTTTATACGCAGAGATAACTATGAATAAACCACTTGTAGACTGATTTTCCCAAAATGGATAAATACTGTTGCACAAAAATTGCTTATGCCGAGTTCACACTGCACGATTTTCAAACTCGTCGGATCGCCGTGGTTTTCACACTGCGTGACTATCTGGGGTAGCATTCAGTTGCTGCTGTGTTCACATTGCACGATGGATCGGCGACAGGGGGTTTCACACTGCATGACTTCACGATAGGAAGAATCGCCGACAGCTCTGTCTGGTCCGCAAACTACGTTTCACAACAAAACACACGCGAGAAGTGATAAGGAAATAACGCGAGAACCCGCGTGCGTCAGACCGGAGTTCTCGCGAGCAAGACTGTAATTCTAAAATTGTGCAGTGTGAACTCGGCATTAGTGTTTTGCAAAACTCCAACCATGTGATGCTAGACTGGAGCAGAGCTATCTGTTTAGTGACTAATGAAAGACAGCGGGAAGAGGTATGGAAACCTGTAGGAAAGCATTCATTATATTTTCAATTACGTTTGCAATTCCTAGTGGTGTAGAAAATGCACACTTTAATTCAGAACTTACAGGAGGTCCAGGAGGTCCGGTTCTGCCTTGCAGTCCATCGCTGCCCTGGAACAAAAAGACATTTATTTTCTTTACATGCATAACACAAACTGCCTCTCCAAACAAAGTATACGATTGCATTGAGAGTCAGGGCCAACGCCACACTGCAGTGTTAGAAAATGTTGTGAATAATAACAGGTTTCAGATAGAGCATTTGGAAGTTTTGAGGATAGACTCAATGCCCCTTGGCTCTATTGGGTTGGCTCTCAGTGGAGCCGATCAGCTGATGAAAACTGATGAAAAATGCCTCTATTTCCTTTCTAGTGCACACCACCAGCTCGTCGAACACATTGAGCGGCATATTCACTATCTCCTGCTAACTGTTTGTGAGAGTATTACTTCAACCATTTATCAGGCAGTGTGTGTGACTCATACAGATGCAGATGGGTCAAAGTACTATATTGTTGGGGAAAGCCAAAGAGAGAAAAAGATGTGCCTTACATTTTGTTTTTATCCCACTCTAAAATTCAGTTTAACTGTAGAGTTTTTAAATATAACATTTAGGATGATACACAACAATTTACTATCATGTTGTGCTAAACCTGTATTAACTTTCTTAAGTGGAATAGAAAATAAGCCGTACAAAAAGATACACAATATTTCAGGCCTTCTGAGAACATCTGATCATTTTGTGAAAGAAATGGTCCAAATTTTAATTTGTTATTCTTTTTTTTTTCTCAACAGCAGCCCTTCGAAATCTAGTAGTTTACTTATTCACTTGACATTGTCCATGTCCATAAACTTGTATTCTATGGAAATGTAGCATTAACAGTTTGCAAACATGTTCCATATGTGTTCCACAAACAATTATTCCATGGTCTATGTGAATACTGGATTCTGGTTGGCTGGCAGGTATGCAGTAAAACCGTTTAATGCACAGGTAGTTCCAAGTCAGTTTAATCACCGTTCTATATAAATGCGCTGCTTTAATTGAAGCACACAAACCCACACACATCACTCGTGCGCACACACACACACACACACACACACACACACACACACACACACAGAGAGAGAGAGAGAGAGAGAGAGCAAGAGCTAGAGCGAGAGAGAGAGAGTCAGAGATTGCAGATCGCACAAACTTGTCAACGCTTCCCCACGATTTTTATGAATAAAATAGCCTAGATACTAGACCACTACATTATATTCCTCAGCAATGAGGTGGTAAAATCGCTGTTTTTGAAGTAGTCTAATTAATTGTTTGTAGAGAGAGACACACAGATGCAGCACGCAGGTAACGCGCACACTAGGGCTGCATGATTAATCGAAATTAAATCGTAAAGGCGATAAATCGCGATTAGGCAGAAGCTGCGATTATCATGTGTATCTTTCAGTGAAGCACGGTTCTGTGATCAGCAGTAAATCTCCATCCGAAGGCCAGAGGGTGCTCTCGTGCTGAAACTCCAAATAAGCCTTTCAGAAGAAACCCGTAAGATTTAACTGCTTTCATTAATTCAACGTGACTAATAAACACACGACTACGACAATATATGGTTTATCCGAGTTCGACTTATAATTTTTATTATAATGCAATGCTAATCGACATAGCCTTTATCACTGCTTAGAATACTATGAAATATGTTGCGTGCCTTATTCTGTGTAAGAAGCCACATCACTCTATCAACAGGATTTATTTCAAACACTCAACTGACACTATGAAGTGAGTTTGGATTAAAAACATGTTATTAAATGTGGTATTTTCACGTGCCTTCAGGTGGAGCAGCATTTACTACACAGAGCCGTAGTTCACTGACAAGCTACGCAAACAGTTTTCATAATCACAGAACGATTTCTTCGATTTCATAATCGCGCGATTAAATTGTCTGCGATTATGAACGCGATTTTGCGTAGCTTGTCAGTGAACTACAGCTCTGTGTAGGAAACGCTGCTCCATCTGAAAGCACGTGCTGGAGATTTGCTACTAATCACAGAACCAGTGGTGTATAAAGTACCTGAAAGCCATACTCAAGTAAAAGTACAGATATCTTACCAGAAAATCTAAAAGTACAAGTAAATGCAAATTGGAAAAGGAGCAAATAAATATATATAAAAAAAAATTTCATACACAGCTTGAGTAGCAAGACTGTGTTCAGCTTTAACTCTTTCTTCCATTTTGTATTTTTGGGTAAGAATAAGAAGCACTTCATCCGGTACTTAGTGCATTTAATTTTAACATTAAAAAAATAGTCGAAATGTGAAATTAAAACCGCCAGTAGGTGACAGCAAGTGACTGTTAATGAGTGAGTCATTGAGATTCAACCGATTCATTCAAACGACTGATTCATTCAGGAACAAAGCATTTGACTGTTAATGAGTGAGTCATTGAGATTCAACCGATTCATTCAAACGACTGATTCATTCAGGAACAAAGCATTTGACTGTTAATGAGTGAATCACTGAATCATTTATTCAACCGATTCTTTCAAAAAGCTGATTCATTCAATAAGTAAACACTGTTCATTGCTCAGAGACGCAAAACAGTGCTCTGATCTTTATTTTGAACTATTTTCGTTGGCAAAATTGAGCAAAAACAAGCAATATTATGTCTAAAATGTAAGTCACTTACTGCTTTACTGAACTTGTATAAAACTGTAACGAAGTATTATTACTTCGTTACATTACACCACTGCACAGAACCGGCTTAACTGACAAGATGCGCATGACAGTCGCATTCAATTAATCGTGCAGCCCTAGCGCACACAACTGTCATCTCTCTCTTTCTCTCGATCGGTCGATAATTAATTGAAATAAATGCTATAATTCATTCAAATAAATGTGATCTTACCGCACTATTTCATCTCTGTGTCTGATTTGAAGCGGGCAGAATGCTAGAGCTAACGTGTCGTAACTCACGAAAATAACTGTCATTTTTACCCATTCGGTCAAATATTGTGCTGCAAAGAGCAATACTGGTTTTAACTTGTCTATAACTTGGCAAATGACCATGGAATAAGCGGGATAATCAACGGCTTGTGTCTGTGTGGCCGTGATCCGTCCTTCAGTTCCTCCACTTCGTGTCAGGTGGTTCTTTGCCTCCAAGTCATGCATTTAAAATCCTTTAATGCACGGCAAACCGTTGATTATCCCTTACTTACACTCTGCCTGGGTTTGAAATAGCATTATCTTTTTTTAAGGGCCTTAATATTATTTTAAAATCTTAAAGCAGAAATTATCACTTGATTATGTTTACCCGTTCTCCCTTTGGTCCTGTGGCCCCAACAGGTCCTGGTCTGCCAATCAGTCCCTAAATGCAGAGGAATATGCATAAGGATCATTTTAATCAGATACATCGCTGGGGGAAAAACAAAACAAGAAAAAAAAAAAAAAATTACCAAGGAACTAAACTAGCCGCCATATAAAAACCATAAAATCATGATAATATTTATTTTTGCTGGAAGTTTCTAACCTGTGGACCCATACGGCCTGTGGATCCAGGCAATCCTGGCACACCTGAGGACCCCTGGGAACAGATGAAAATAATTGTAGCTATAATTGATAATTCATTCTCTATCCCTGGACCAATCAACTGTGAGCTTGAGGCTAGATTTCAACAACAATAAAATGAAAATGTAAATAAAAATCCATTGGTCCATTGGACAATATACTATTCGATACAATGTCAGCATTGTTTCAAATGTGAATGGGTACAAAACAAAAGATGTTTATTTAAATACCTATTGAAACAGCAATCTACTCAAACAACTAAAATCACTTCATTTCAGATGCACAGTCTGGAAAATAATGTGTCTGGAGCAGCAGTATAGTAGTCAACTATGACACATCAGACAAGTCCACTAACTGTAACAGGATCAGTTTAGCTTTGTTGTATAATTTTGATAACTCACCTCATCACCCTTGTCCCCCATTGGACCAGGAAAGCCCCTCTCACCCTTCACTCCCTATATGACAACGAGACAGATGGACAAATCGTTGAGACAGAAAGTACACTCTCTTGATCTCTTATGATGCTCTTACACATTATTAATGCTCATCTCTAGACTCAATTCTTGTCTGTCACTGAACGTCTCGCATTCATGCACTCTAATGTAGATTATGCAAACCATTTTGTTGCTATAATTGTTGCACCATTTGTAATACATTGGCCCTGCTATGCCTTGTAACAGAGGAAATGTACTTCCAGAATTGCAGCTAAAGGGAAGACTGTGGATATATCTGGGGCTCATGTGTCTGCCAATCACACGATTCTCTTCTCTAATCTCTGATTTAGGGCGGCTTACCTTCGGACCCTCTTTTCCGGGATTACCAGCTGGGCCTCGAAGTCCCTGATCCCCCTGGCAAAGCCAACACAGAACGTAAGGAGCCAGGTCCACAGGACAGACATAAGAATATACAGTGGCTCAGGAAAGTATCTGAACACTTAGGCCGCAGTTAATGTATGAATGTCATCATGTGTTTAAAAGATCAACAAACTGGAATTAATTTTAAAGAACGAGAAGACAAGGTCATACAGTATTGCAAGTAAAACATTTGAAGTTCTCGTAAATTGTGGCCCAGGAAAGTAAAATTAGCTTTGAGAAAATGTCAAGCATCATTGTTTGCAAGTGCTGATTCATTTGCAGATTTTGTGGTTATCTAATACAATGACATGCAAACTCTTTATATACTTTTTAAAGCCCTTGTATAGCAAATCTCAAAAACTTTGTTATATACACATGCATTTCAAATAACTGGACTGCAGAAATGTCTGGTGTATTATAAACAAATCATTCATTGCATCAGCCAGAAAGGATGACAGCAATCAGTGCTAGAAAATCTCAGGTGGAGGAACAGAATTTTAATTAGTGAGGAGATTAAATGTGTTTGCAGCCAATTTTACCTTTTCTCCATCCATTCCTGGGATACCTGGAGCTCCAAGGGAACCTTTTTCTCCTTTCTGCCCTGGCAATCCTGGTACTCTGGTCTGACACGCACTGCAGGCGTTCTGCCAAAATCACAAACACACACAATGTAAGGTGCAGAAATCCCACTTTCTCTCTTTTAATCTTTTTCTCCTTCTGTTCAGATAAGCCCAGGATGTAACACATCACAAGATTAAATGATGCAGATAAGAAAAATTAAAGGATTTTCTCATATGCTGAAACAAAACACATCAAACTAAAAATTTGCAGGTAAAATTAGTTTTATTTTAAATGCAAACTTATCTAGTTTTAAAATACATCTTAGTGATTTGCAATGTATAAAACAGTAAATTATTGATCTAAAAATAATTAAATCTAAAATATTTTTAAGGACTAAACTGTGTCAAATGCTAAAGTTGTGCCAGTTGCAGTAACAATAAAATTATAGATTTGCCTCAGAATGCAGGAAATATTAATATAAAATATATAGTCCTTTAGTAAAAATGTTAATAATATGCAACAAATAAAATTTCTGAAACAGCATTGTGCATTTGTAAATTATTTTTCTCATGTATCTTTATATCTGAATTTAAAATGATTTAAAAATTCTCACATGATTCAACTTACACCTTGACATGGTTTTGTTATTTTGAGAAGTGATATTTATATGATTGTGTCATAAATGCTTCCTTATAAATTTATATTAGATATTTTGAAATATTATGAAAAGGATTCATTTTACCTCCATCTCATTTCTTCTAAAAGACAACGGAAGTAAAACGTGGCACCGTTTACCTCACTCTTACTGTGGAAAAACAGTAAACGTCCTTATTTGTGTTCATGAGCTCTACACAGGTTTATCTGCTTCTGTATACTGACCTTTATTGCATCTGTGTAAGATTTATGTTTGCCCATCTGGATATATGCTTTTAGCAGCTTGCAGAGGCACATATGGCGTGGCAATCAAGCTTTGCCCACTGCTAAAAACGCTAAAGGTCAAACCCAGACATACAAACAACTCACAGGCAGAAAACTTGATAAAAGGCATGCATTAGGGAAGTACAATTTTTTCCCAGATTTTAACCTTGCCAGCCTGATGCATTCACCTCAATACATTTGCCCACTGATACAGAGAGAAACAGCAAAAGCAGAAATGAAGGTGCTTTCAAAAGCGGTTTTGAAACTCGGGGGCAAGTAAGCAACCTTTTTCTCTTCTGCTCTTTTAAGAGTGAAACTGTATACCCGACCCGTGAAGCGTAATCAATGGTTTACCGTAATGGGTCGGCATTTCACATTGGATGCACTTTTCGTACCCAGCACCAGTGTGTCTCTGAAGGTAGCAATTTACTAGTGCATTAGTCCGACCTGCTCAATAAGTGCAGGGTGATTCAGGAACCACATTTATATTTGCGTTCTTTGTGTAAGACTGACAATTAGCAAATTGCATGTGACCGATATAGCAGTAGAGGTTTAACATTAATGGAGAAAAGAGGAAATTCGTACACAAATTCAAGAAGAGTCAGAACACATGACCTAAGTGCTTTGACATTTTTAGATTTCGACATAAAACTGTGAGCTTCAATAAATAAATACTATTAATTTATTTAAAGGAATATTTCACCCAACAATTAAAATAGACAGAATGTCAAAGCTGCTCTATACCATAAGCAGTGAATGATAATTCATAGTGCAAAATTAGCAAAGCTTTTTATACAAAAAAATAGAAAAGTAAAATATACATAATTTATTTATTGACATGACTCAAGCTCCAATTCAAACTCTGCAGAAATCAGTCATAAACTTGCCTGTTCTTTTGACATTTAAATATGTTTTGATGCATTCCCTTTCCTTTGTGTATGAAGACACATCAAATCCAAACCGGAGATAAATTACAGTACATAAGCTACTGTAAGTAGCTCTCTGTGTTGTTGTGGTTGACAGTTCAGTCCTAAGAATCTCACTGCATAATTTTTTGAGCAAATGGGCATTTATCTTGTCAGAAGTTTCTTCAGTCGCATAGAGATGAATGTATGATGCCCAAACAGAAACATAAAGAGCAGTGGAGGAGGAAGACAGAACAGAAAGCACTTATAAGGAGGAATTACAGAGAGAGCGAAGAGTGAAAGTTAAAAGAATGTTTCTTTTTCTAAGTGCTGAATATACATGAATGTAGAGAGCAGACAATTAAATAATTTATAACAGTTCTTCGGAGCAATTTTAGATAAAATTGGGCTTTATATTACCTCTGGCTATATTCTGTCATTTGTGTTTTGTTACTAAAATATTGTGTGTAATAGGAAAGGCAATGTTTCTGAAATCTTATGGTTTAATAGAGGGGAAAAAATGCAGGTTACATGGGGTAAGATCTGTCTTAAGATCCACACACAATCTGACTGAAGGGAACAGAATTTTAAATAGATTTTTAAAACACCTTCGGTTTGAGATGTCAGGTTTCAAAGTCTGCAAAAGTTTTGCTGATATGCATCTCAAAGGGAACTTTTTGGGTACAGACCTAACTGTAAATTCAGCATCTTTTATTTCTTTTTTAGTTCTGTTCATCATAATTCATACTATTAATATTTAGCATCTGCTGCAGTGAGAACAGATAGCTGGATGAAACAGTACCTTTAGTAACGTCCCCATGTCTCCAACAATAGGTAGTGCTGTCTGAAAAAGAAACATTTAAAGCAGCATAAGAAAATGACACGCGATACAAACACAAGTATTTATTTTATTCCCTATAGAGTGCTATGTCAATATAATATTCCAACTATTTTAATTAGCAGAGCAACAACAAACAAAACAACTGTACATATTGTGAGTAACCGAATATTAACATTTCTAGGAATGTCGAGAAAAAGGCAAAAAAAAAAAAAAAACTAACGTTACGAATCGGTTTCTCCAGGGGGTCCAGGGGGTCCTGGTCTGCCTTGTGGGCCTGGAGGTCCCTTTCAGATTAAGACACATTCAAGATATTTAAGAATTCTTTATATAAAATACTTCATAGATATATGAATAAATAAATATCTTGATATTTTCACCTTTTGACAAATTTGGACTCAAAGAAATGAGAACACTTCTCACCATAATTCCTGGCGATCCAAGTGGTCCTGGAGGTCCACGAGGACCCTGTGAAGAGAACACCATCATGTAAATTAACTTGCTTCAACATTTTCAAAACAAAGAGTTTCAATCTCTGTCTTAACTTGTATAAGATCATAAAAAATATGCAATATCAATGTGTAAGTATATTATGCACAATGGTATATAATTGACATGCTTGGTCTACATGTAATTGCTGTTTTTTGGATGCTAAATGATCCTTTACCTGAATTCCTGGTTCTCCTTTAGATCCCATCAGACCCTAAAAATGTTCAATTAATAAATGCAGGTGTCTTATATATATTGTTTTCAGTCTGATATGCAAAAACACTAAATGCTAACATCTAAAGCTACTTGGAAAACTTTTATATAGTGTGAACTTTATGGCTGTCTGTGGGAAGTATGTGGGATGAAGAAATGATAATGCAGACTGTATTTCTGTGTGAAAAGTCATTGTCGTTGCAAACCTGTATGACTCCGTGGAACAGATTAAAGCCATTGTCAAGCTCCAATTCTGACAAAAAGTACCATAACAGTTGTTCATTTGACTTGTACACGTTCAATGCTGTATGATATTTTTGTATGTGGAACAGACTGAAATTTCAGCTTTTGTGTTCCACAAAAGAAAGTTTGGAACAACATGAGAGTGAGTAAATGACTATTTTCTGTTTTGTGTGAACAATCCCTTTAAATGAAGACAATGTTTGTGAAGTTACTCTAAAACAGGTACTTACAGGGGGTCCAGTGATTCCAATACCAGGTTCTCCTTTTTCTCCAGCATCTCCAGGGACTCCAGGTACACCTCGCTCACCCTGGTGGAGAGCAAAAAAGTTCATTCATCCAAACTAAATTAACTCCAAAACTCACAAAACACAGTCAAGTAGTGCCGGTTTATGTAATAAAGCTTGGCTGGATAATTATTGTGTTTTAAAATGAATTTGTTGCCATAGCAACATTATGAACATATTCAGTCAGTATGTAGTAATGTATTTAAAATCAAACCCTTACAAACAGATGCTTACACAGTAGTAAAATAAGAGCTTTAACGAAGCGTTCTGCATAAGCAAATCATTTATGACAGCATGCAACTGGCTTAAATACATTTTCAGGGTTTAATACAAGTTAAGCTCTACTACCACAGACAATTTCGACTTGCAACTCAGTTTGAAAACTGTATTCCACAAATGTAGCTTTGTTTTAAACTTTGGGAATGAGTCAAAATGGTTTTCTGTGGTAATCAACATTAATGTCACAGATGCAATTAGATATGGCGTTTAACTTTAATTATTCACAATGCTGACATTTCTTATCACACCATAAAAAAAGTGGACTAAAAGACAAAGCACAGCACAGGGAAATATGGCTGATATGAACTCAGGGGATGTTCCTTTACAGATAAACTTCACAAGTGCAAAACTGAATACTTTAAAAAGAATCTTTCACAGTGACCTACCTTAGGGCCCCGCAACCCCCGAAGACCAGACGCGACCTCCTCCTAGAGATGAAATACAAACGCAAATGAAGACTGTGTTCTTAAAACTTACATAAGACTCAATTTCAGCCAGAAACTTTTATAGGAACAGTCTGAAAATCAGTGTTTGAGAATACTAAAGTGGTGATGCTACTAAAACAGTGTTAAAGGAACAGTGTAACATGTTATATAAACAAATAATCTACTTTTTCTTCACCGCTTTAAATTAGTAGCTTGTAACTTGACAAGATACAATTTCAAGCAGCGTCCCCAACGTCGCTAAATATTGCATGCTCTAGAGTTTGGTGCAATTCACAGCAAATGTTTAATTGTTTTCTCTGTGTGATTTGCAAGTGATACTGTAGGAACTGACAGTGTGAAAGAGTTACAGTAAGCATTATTTGCTATACGCCACTGATGGAAAATTGATTTTTGTGGTCAGCAAGAATTAGATTAGCAAGTAGTTTTCGCATTGCAGAAGCTGTCACAGCAGGTAGGTAAACAGACTTTTTGCATCCTATGAAGTCAAAATACAGGATACTTAAGTATAGTGAACCGATTAAATTAACACGGCAAGGCCCTTGTGAGAAGTTGGACTGAATCAAAAGTGGGTATTAAAAGTGATAACAACAGAAACAACTAAATGAATAATAATTATAACAAGAAGAATAAAGCAGAATGAGACCAGGAGTGTATATAAATGGTGTCAGATTTGATTTCATTCGTTCACTTCACTCGTGTAAATTTCCCTGTCTTTCTCTCTTCCACTAAATCAGAACAGACAAAGGTGACTGATGGCTTCATGCTATATTGATTTCAGTCCAGCAAACCATCATTCAGCTGGTCAACAAGTGCTCTGTCTGCCCACCACCCATCTGTCTATATGCTTCATGCTGGATGACTCGCCACCTTTACAGTTAATATGCAGTTTATCTCCTTCCCTCGCAAACAAACATCATTTCTTAAGTCAGAGTTCAGCTGGCACCTAACTAGCATGAAATAAAATGCAATAGCAAACGACAACGATCCAATCAATTTCCAGTGGGGAAATGCCCTACATTTGATCTTGTTCAAGAAGATGCTTCACTCAGACATAGGTTACAATAGGAAATGACACTGAAAACTTTTGTTTCAGGCCAATTTTAGTGTATAGAAACTACAAATGTGACCCTATCTATAACATCCCAGGACAGCTGACAGGTGTACCGTTAGGATGAAACAGCAAGGGTGTTTTTAAAGGTAGCTTTATCAAAGCAGTATATTAGCATGAGCAGTATTTCATTGACAAAGCTGAAATCAATGAGCTGTCATCAATAAAACCAGCTGCTACTACAGTTGTTTCTCATTCAAGAAGCCATTTCACATTGATATACGTCACAATGGGGACCAAAAGACTACTTCCGTTTCATGCCAACTTTAAATAGTGTTGATACACTTCATCCCAAACTAGAGAAGTGACCACATCTACAACATCCTAGACTATATCTAAAGTTGTTTTCTACCAAGATGTTTTTTTATAACGTAAGAAAAAAATGAGACGGCTGTTACAAAAATATGTAGATAGATATAGGTATAGGACCAGACGATGCTTCTGAAAGAACAGGATGAGAATTGTGAGATTTCTGACAGATGGCATACTAGTATCTTGGCCAAAGTGTGAGACATTGTTGAGATTTCTTTCGAAACTGTAAATGAAGCCTTGAGATAAGTAGTTTTTACTTGGATTTGAGAAAACAGAAGTAGGAGGACTAAAGCTAAAGTCTCGATTTGCTTCTCACTGGTTTCGAAGAGAGACAACTGAGCTATTTTGCAGATCTCATAGCTGATTTTTCTTTCTCATGGCTTGGACAGCTGACAGGTATACCGTAAGGACGGCACAGCAAAGGTGAATTAGCATGAACCGTATTTCATTGTCAAAGCTGAAAACAACGAGCTGTCATCAATAACACGGCTGCTGGTGGAAGAAGAGTGTGTGTGCGGCAATGTGTCGCAGATTTACAGGTGCATAACATCATTGTCAGTGTGCCTCTTAAATCGGAGCTGTCATCAAGTGGTGGGATGTTGGATAAGTGTTGAGTGATATTCTGTTTGTGTCTTAAAGGGGTGCTGAAAGAGAAGATATTGAGTGGGGAACATGAAGTGAAAGAGAAAGACAGGAATGGTGCTGTGTACCTACCCCATTGCAAGGTCTGACAGAGCAGGGCTCACCAGGTTCACCCTTGAGGCCCGGGGGGCCTATCGGTCCCGGCCCTCCACCTGCATCACCCTGCAAACACACATCGAGTCGCTGTCACCTCAGGTTTGTCATTTGACAGGTTGAGGAGCACCACACAAATGCACACACATGCCTGCCTTCACACGCACATACAAAACAAGAGCTGGACGTAAATATCACAGACATCTGGGGCAAATGCCACCAACCTAGAAAACGCCTCACGCAGCTTCAGAAGTGAGACGAGAGACTAAAAAAGCAGTCTAAACATCTGCTATGCTGAACATGCTCCCTCTATTAAAGACGCTGTTATTGAGTGATCTGACTATTTTGAGTGCATTTTCTCCAGTCGACTTTTTTCACAATAACTTTCATTTAGCCATCTGAACAAAATATTTGCAAATTTGAATTATTATTGAAGGAAAATAAAACGTACTTCAGGCCCCATCCTACCATGATGCAATATCTTAGCCTACTAAAAAATAAGACCAACGTAAGTAACATTGGAATATACTGTATATAGTACATAGTAATAAAATAAAATAAGACTAAAATAAATAATATAATTTAAAATGTTTTTAGCAATTAAAACAATGTAAACATTAGACGAAAAAAAATTTAGATGAAAAAGTTATTTAAACTAATACTGAAATAAATACAAAAAATAAATAAATAAAAATTACAAAAGCACAAAAATACTAAAACAAACTAAAAATAAAAATATAAAAATAAAAGTCAATTTAAAATATTAAAAAAGTACTGCAATAGTATATAAATAATTATAAAATACATTTTATTGGACTTTTCTATTAAAAAAAAGGCTATTTTAATTAATTAATTTAATTATTCTAAATATTAAGTCCTAAATATTAAGTTG